GATATAAATGCTTGTACAAAGTAATATGATAAGGGGAAGCGCGTCGTGAGAATGATAACACACACAAAAATTAACCGAACGCTACATATACGACCCATTTTCTCTATAGCTAAACAAAATCAAACCATACTTTTGTTTAGTCTGTTAGGGTTAAGGCTCTCCCCTCTTACCATTTAATTCCTTTTAATTAGCAAGAAAATAATGTTTCTAATATGTTCTTGAGTATATTTTCAAAATAATATAACAATTAAATATTGGTGACTAAAATATTTTGTTGAATGAATTATTCTATAAAACTAAATTGTATTAGAAATCAGTTTAAAATAATGATATGTGACCATATGTCATATGATATAAATGCTTGTAGAAAGTAATATGACAAGGAGAAGCGCGACGTGAGAATCACAACACACGCCAAAATTAATCGAACGCTACATATACGACCCATTTTTTCTATAGCTGAACTGAACCAAACCATATTTTTATTTAGTTTGTTAGGGTTAAAGCTCCCCTAGGGTTCCTCCTCTCTTAAGGTTTAATTCCTTTTTATTTGCAAAAAAAATAATGTTTCAAATATGTTTTTTGAGTATATTTGTAAAATAATGTAATAATTAAATATTGGTTACTAAAATAAATTGTTAAATAAATTATTTCATAAAACTAAATTGTACTAAAAATCAACTTAAAATAATGATATGCAATCATATGATATAAATGCTTGTACAAAGTAATATGAAAACGGAAGCGCGACGTGAGAATGAAAATACACGCCAAAATTAACCGAATGCTACATATACAACCCATTTTCTCTTTAACTGAACTGAATCAAATCATTATTGTTTAGTTTGTTAGGGTTAAGGCTTCTCTAGGGTTAAAACTCTCCTCTCTTAGGGTCTAATTCCTTATAATTTGCAAAAAATAATGTTTCTAATACGATCTTGAGTATATTTTAAAAATAATATAATAATTAAATATTAGCTACTAAAATATCGAACGCCAAAACGAACCGAACACTGCGTATACGAGCTATATTTATAGCTGAGCTGAATCGATCCATACTTTTGTTTACTTTGTTAGGGTTAAGGCTTCCCTAGGGTTAAGGTTTCCCACTTTCAGGGTTTAGTTTTTTTTTAGTTTTCAAAAAAAAATAATAAAAAAATAATTATTTTGAGTATGTTTTTAATTGTTTAGTCTCACATATTGATTTGATGAATTTTTAATTTAGTAAAAATATAGATGGTATATGTATAAATTACAAAGAATAAACTAACATTGTTCATTTCAATTCATTTTATTTTAGTATAAATATTAAAGGTAGACATAGCTAGATACAATAAAAAAATTAGTAATTTATAGAAAATAAAAATTGATTCTTAGAATGTAGTGCCCCGCGTATTCAATAAAAGTTAGTAAAGTGATTCTTTAAAACAGTGATAGGCGATCATATGATATAAATGCATGTAAAAAATTATATGAGAAGGATATGTGCGACGTGAGTATAACACCATCCGTCAAAATTAACCGAATACTACATATACGAGCTATATTTGTAGCTGAGCTGAATCGAACCACATTTGTGTTTAATTTGATAGGGTTAAGGCTTCCCTAGGGTTATAGCTTCCCGCTGTTAGAGTTTAGTTTCTTTTAGTTTGTAAAAAAAAAGTATTATTTTTAGATGAATTTTTAATTTGCTAAAAATATCAATGGTATATATATTTTATGAAAACTAAATATTAATCGAAATCAATTTAAAATAGTGATAGACGATCATATGATATAAATGCATGTAAGAAATTATATGAGAAGGATAAGTGCGACGTGAGTATAACACCATCCGTCAATATTAACCAAACACTACATATACGAGTTATATTTGTAGCTGAACTGAATTCAACCACATTTGTGTTTAATTTGTTAGGGTTAAGGCTTTCCACTCTTAGGGTTTAGTTCATTTTAGTTTGCAAAAAAAAGAAATGATTTTTAGATGAATTTTTAATTTGCTAAAAATATCAATGT